AGTATTGCTTTTATTATATTCATATGTCTTAGTATGAATATAATACTATTATTCATTTCAATAATTTTTAAATTTCCTGAATTTCTAGATTCAATGGTTGGTTGCTGAGAAGTATGTTATTTAATTTCTGTGTATCTGTATAGTTTTTGAAGGTTTAGTGTTACTGGTTAGTTTCATTACATTATACTTGGAAATACTTTATATAATTACATTTTGAAATATTTTCATTCTTTTTTATATCATAGGCTTATCCATATAAAAAAAATCAAATTTGGAAAGAAGCAAGAGTTGACATTCCACCTCTTATGAGAGGTTTAACCTGGGCTGCTCTTCTAGGAGTTGAGGTAAGAAAGAAAAGAAGTTAGAAGTTGTTTAATATGAGAGATGATCAAAAATATGGTGAATGTCTAAATTTCTTTTTAAAATTCAGTATAATAAAAGACATATTGCTAATTATCATAGAGTAAGTATATAGAAAGTGAGATGTTGGTATTGTTTTTACTATAATAATTTTTGTATTTCAAATTCACTATATTTTTCAATCATCCATCATTGATCAATTATGTCAAAAAATTATGATGTTTCCTTATCTACTTTATTCACCATATTTGGCACCATGTGATTTTTGGCTCTTTTCCAAAATCAAAGTGACCATGTAAGACAAATGTTTAGCATAAACTCAGGACACTGGACAGCCATGACAGCACAACTAAGGACACTCACAGAGAAGGACTCCAGAACTGCCACAGAAGGTGGCAGGAAGGATGAGATAAGTGTGTTGGGAATGAGAGAAAGGGGAGTGGCATGATGAGGGTGAATGGTATTGTGACTTTTATAGTAATCAATATTTTAAAAATTTAAACATTTAAAAATGATAGCACTTTCAGTATATTTCAGTATATCTTCTTAATTAGAAAATTATATAGTAAACTGTGCACATGAAAAAGCTTATAAATTTTTTTTAATCTTTTATTTATTTGAGGTGTCGCTATGCAGCTCAGACTTGTAGTGATCCTCCTGTCTCAGCCTCCCCATTGCTGAGATTACGGCGTGGATCATCACACTGGGTTTCGGTGGCTGGCACTGCACGGGCTGGCATGGTGTATGGTACCAGTGATTGAACCCAGGTCCTTGTGCTTACCAGGCAGGCACTTAGACCGCTGAGCTATCTCCCAAGCCAAAGTTTGTAAAATTATTTTTTAAGTAATTTTATTGAGAAACAAGTAGCAATGAGATAGTTTCAGAACAAGTTAGTAGAACAGTTACAATAATTAATACATTGCATGTTGTTGTCTTTGTAGTAGTTATTCATAGTACAAGATGCAGACATGATAATTTGTCTAAACACTATTAGTTCAAAACTTCTCATTGAACTATGAGAAAGTAGCTGTATATCTA